ACGGACAATTTACAATCACCAATTAACCTCAGCATGTTTCTGGACTGTGGGAGGAAGCCGGAGAACCCGGAGAGAACCCACGCTGCACGGGGAGAACTAATAACTCGCTAATAAGATGGATGAACTGAGGCTTCAAGTCGCAACAACCAACACCATCAAGGAAGTTGCATCATTGTGATAACAGAAACTTGGCTTTATTCATTCCAGACTCCACTATCCAGCTAGCAGGCTACACGGCACAGTGTCAGGACAGGATCAGAGACTCCGGTAAGAGTAGAGGGGGCAGGCTGTGGACAGTCACTGCCCCCCGGATCTGGAGTATGTGACTGTCAAATGCAGACCATTCTATCCTTCCAGAGAGTTTCCTGTGGTCATGATCACTGCTGTTTACATCCCACCAGATGCTAATGCTAACTCGGCTCTTGGAAATTTACATGGTGGCATTAGCAGTCAGTAGAGCAGGTATCCTGATGCTGTGTTCATCACAGCTGGGGACTTCAACCATGTGGATTTAAAAGTAGCGCTCCCTAACCAACTGAGACTTTTTCTAACATCCAGACCTGAAGGGGTGTTCACTGGCAGTGTGCTGTGCTACATCATGCACGGACATTTTTACAGTGGATAAACACATCCGGGTCTATCCTAACAAGAAGCCTTGGATGACCAAGGACATCCAGTGGCTGCTAACAGAGAGGAACATCGCATTCATGTCTGGTAACAGGGCTCTCTACAGCATGGCCTGCACCAACCCAAAGAGAGGCATCCGGAAGGCCAAGTCGGACTACAGGATGAGGACTGAAGACCACCTGGACAGTAATAACAGCAGGCAGGTGATGCCTAACTGGCAGACGAGCTGACTCACTTCTTTGCCCGCTTGGAGGTGAGGTCACCTGAGGCAGCTATGCCACAGCCAGCGGTCCACAACAACTCCAGCCTCACTGTGGAGGAGCGTGAGGTGAGGCAGACACTGCAGGCGGTGAATCTGAGGAAGGCAGCTGGACCTGATGGCGTCCCAGGACTTGTGCTGAAGGAATTTGTGGACCAACTGACTGGGGTCTTTGCCAGGATCTTCAATCAGTCCCTTTCTGAGACCACCGTCCCATCCTGCCTGAAGTCCTCTACCATTGTTCCTCTGCCCCCCAAAAACCCCAGTGACTACAGGCCAGTAGCACTCACCTCTGTGATGATGAAGTGCTTTGAGAAACTTTCCAGAGTCACATCACATCACTCTTCCCTTCCACCTTTGACTCCCACCAGTTTTCTTACAGGACTGACGGGTCTACTGAAGATGCCATGGCTACAGCTCTCCATGCTGCGCTGTCCTACCTGGAGAAGCAGGGGAGGTTCACGCGGATACTCTTCATAGACAACAACTTGCTTCTGAACACTGCCAAGACTAAAGAGCTTATTGTGGACTTTAGGAAGAAGAAAAAAGAGATTCAGCCTTTATTCATTGGTGGGGACTGTATGGACAGAATGTTAGACCTCCATCCTCTGGGAGTCCACACCAGGGGTGACCCGACCTGGGGCATGAGCACAGCGAGCCAGTGAAGAAGGCCCAGCAGAGACCCCACCTCCTGACGGTCCTCAGGAAGAACAACATCCCCCAGAAGCTGCTGGTGTCCTTCTAAAGCATTGTGAGTGCTTCCCTAGCTACACAGTGGCACAGAGGACAGTGCTCCAGGGGGTCATAAAGGTAGCCCAGAAAATCATAGGCTGGTCTTTCCCCTCTCTAAAACATCTACACAGCGTTCACTGATGGACTCATTGGACCACAATCTGCTCAAAGTGCTGCCACCAGGCAGAAGATACAGATGCATGAGAACAGACTGAAAAATAGTTTTCATCCCACAGCCATCAATGCATTAAATGCTGCTATAACATAATTCATTCATATACAAACAGTGAAGCTGACTTTAAGAGATTGTGCAATAACTGTTGAATGTAGACGTCTGCTGGGTTTGTCTGTAACGCCTGTTATAGTGTAATAATTATACTGTATGATATTCTCTTATCTTTTTTGTTGGCATTTTCGTAGTTTTTATTTTTGCACTGATTCAGGTTTGCACTTGAGTTTTGTTGTACGTTGCAATGACAATAAGGATATATTCTATTCTATTCTATTCTTCTATTTTGCAGACTTCAGCATATCTCAGCTTAAATTGATAGGGTCTTACTAGATTTTATCATTAGAGATCACAGCGATGTTGACCTTTACCTAAATCCTGATCAGTTTGAGCAGCCAGTCACCATCGCTCCACCTGCCACGTCTACACCATCAGGTTTAAATAAAGGTGTTCATTCAGTTAAATTCCTCCAGAAGTCAACTCATCAACAAAATTAACTCAACTAAAATATCAGTTTTCTCTAAAACTACCAGAACAATATTTCAAGAAAATTCCTCACAAACCTGTAAAGTCAGCATCTGATTGTAAATTCTAACGTCTTTATCAACGGGTACAAGTTCAGCAAAAGATGATTCATTCATTATGTTAATATGTCAGAGAAGTGAATTGTGTTAAAATCCATCCATCCATTCTCTTCCGCTTATCCGGGGTCGGGTCGCGGGGGCAGCAGGCGGAGCAGGTCGTCCCAGACCTCCCTCCCCCCGGCGACGCTTTCTAGCTCTGCCTGGGGGATCCCGAGGCGTTCCCAGGCCAGCCGAGAGATATAATCTCTCCAGCGGGTCCTGGGTCTGCCCCGGGGTCTCCTCCCAGGTGGACGAGTTCGGAAAACCTCCAGAGGAAGCCTCCCCGGGGGCATCCGAACCAGATGTCCATACCACCTCAACTGGCTCCTTTCGACGCGAAGGAGCAGCGGCTCTACTCCGAGCTCCCTCCGGATGTCTGAGCTCCTCACCCTATCTCTAAGGCTGAGCCCAGCCACCCTGCGGAGGAAGCTCATTTCAGCCGCTTGTATCCGTGATCTCGTTCTTTCGGTCACGACCCAAAGTTCGTGACCATAGGTGAGGGTTGGGACGTAGATGGACTGGTAAAATGTGTTAAAATAAATAAATAAATCAGGTTTCAGTGCGGGCTGCAAGGTGGCGCAGTTGGTTAGCACCATCACCTCGCAGCTAGACTCCAGCCCCCTGAGCTGACAGTGCTAACCACCAAGACACCTGCAGCCCTGGCAAAGATATGCTTAACTAAAATGTATATGTTATATATCACAAATGAACAGTCCAGTAAAACTACATTTCCACTGAAGCTGTACTGTTAGAGGATGCAGGTTAGTTGTGCAGGAACATCATTTTTGGGGAACAAGGCTGTCCTGAGTTAAAGTCCTCAGTTCAACCCATTGCACTACCACATCTTACTCTTATTGGGAACTTCATTCCTCTTTACACTTCTACTTTTACTACTATACATCTTACCTGCACTTGTGTTATCATAGGTTTGATTTTCTAAAGCCTCCAAAAGGAGTCAGGAAGGAAAGAGATGCAGGAATCTAGTTTCCTCACACAATGTTTCCTTTTGAAGGTAGTTAAACTGGGGGACATGCATGAATGCGGTGGTCACCATATGAATGTCTGGCATCTTAATTTACTTACTCATCATCAATAAAATCAGACATGGTGCAGATGAAGTGAATTTTCTGACACTGGCCACCGTTTCCCAGGAGGCTGCAGGTGCTCTTCAAGATCTCCCAGGGTTCTTTTTCGCTTGCTGCTCGTTTAATTTCAGCCACAATCCAAACAGTAGAACAATCTGCAACAATCTGAAAGGACAATAAAATGTTAGTCATGAATAAATCACCATCAGTGCTCCCATATAACACAGTAATGTTCTCTTAACAGCGGTGCATGTGACTAAATTACCTTCTTCCACATTGTATCTCTGCTCTTGTTACAGTCTCCACTTCCTGGAAGGTCCACCAGTGTGACGTGTTGGAGAAGATCTTTTTTTGGCACCTTGACAGTCACACACTTCACCAGTGGCCAGTACCACCTCTTTTTTCCTTTATGTTGGCTGTTTAAGGAACTTCTTGTGTATTTGATTAAATTTGTAGAGAGAGCTTCAGCCTGAATTAAATAGTAAAAACATAAGTTATATACTGAAAATACTTTACAAATAGGAATGAAAGCAGCACAAAATCAAAGCAGAGCAATCAAACGGTATCACAACAAGTTAAAATAAAAATAGACTAAAGTTTGTAATATTCAAACCAGTTCATCAGTAAGATGTGACCAACTGGTTCAAAAGCAGCAGTGAGATCTAATTAAACAAATTTAAACCAATGTCATTTGTTAAACGCAGTTGTTTAAATGAATTTTGCTTAATTAATTTTAAGTTTTTGATTGAGTTCCTAAAAGGTTTTCCTTTTACAGGTTACTGTGGTATGGGTCTGTCACGCTGCTGCATCATGTCCAGTTAAAGCCTTTACATAGAAGTATGTACAAGGAGTTCATAGGATGTACTTCTTCTAATCTCCTTTTATTTTATATTTGTTGAATTACTGTTGACCTAAAGACACCTGGAAAGTACTGTGCATTCACCTCTAAACACAAAACTATAAACCTCAATAACTGCAAGTTTCACTTCATCACACTGACGGAAAAAATGCTTTCAATGTAATCACATAAGTTTTTTCATCTTACTGATTTATACGACAGAGTCTTCTTCTGGGGTTGTGGTTGTGGTTGGGGTTGGGGTTGGGATTGGGGTTGTGGTTGGGGTTGGGGTTGGAGGAATTCTTTAATTTCTTTGAAATATTTGATATCCAGAGGATTTTCAGGGAATGTGCCTTTCCACTCTTCTCCATACAGTGCGGTGAGCTTTTCAGCAGCTTCAGAATACTCATCATCATCATCATCATCATCTTTCTGTTTTTTATTGTGATCCATAACACACTGCTTCATTGAGCACATCTCTGCTTCCCACTCCTAAAAACAAACAACATGCATCTTAGTTTTAATAAGTGTTCTGTAGTGAAACATTAGAACTCCTTAAGTAGTTTCAAGGAAACACAAATACATTCATAGATCATGTTACCTCTGGTTTTATGAACTTAATCTCTGCTTCATACTTTGAGTTTTGCATGTTAGCTTCCACTTTAATCATGACTGTGGTACAAGCGCTGCTGCTTCCCGTAGGCAACAGATTCTTCTCTCCAATGATGGCATTTATCAACGAGCTCTTTCCAGCCCCAGTTCTGCCAAAAACACCGACCAGTTCCCTCTTGTCTTTCTTCAAATCATTGATTTTAGTCCTGCAAAGAGTTCAAATATGGATTTACTGAGTCATTTGACAAATATACTAAAACTGAAAATGTGTCAACATCAGGAGTCAATATTCACATCAATATTTTTATATGAACAGAAAAGACTGCATATAGCCTTGGATCTGTGCTGGCTTACTGTCAGACAGGTGGGCTGATGCTGTGGAGTCACTTACTCTTTATACCTTTAAAACATCCATGTAACATATTGTTGTTTTATTTGTTCTTTTTCGATCCATTTACAAGCCGGTAAAAAAGATTAATTCAATTGTGAAATCTTTGTCTTCGGAAATCAAGACATGAGTGCCCAAACCTTCAGGACAGGAAGGGCTCTTGTAAATGACTGAGGTGTGACTCAGCCATGATTCTCTCTGAACTTTCAGGAAGAGACGACAGCTGGAGACGTTTGTCCTGCTGACAAACTTTCTGTAAAACTTCACTATCTGTCTGTGAAACCTGTAATTAACATGCCAGAGTGAATATTTTTCATCGTGATCTTGTGTGAAATTTGTTCTCATGAAGGACCCTCTTGTAAAAGATGCCTTCATCTTAGTGTCATAATTAATGACTAGATAATTTCAGAAGAAACGCTGAGCGTGCCAATGCAGCTTATGTCTCTTGTTGTATCCTGCTTTAAAGACTCCAACGGCAATTGCTATTTAACTGGCGGATGAGAGCAGCGCCAGGCAGGCTGGCAGGTTTAAGGCGGACCTTGACTGTAACCAAGTATTCCGGCAGCTCGCTGCAAGCACCCCAACCAAACCCAGCACGTCTCCATCCTCCATGATGCCGCTGGAGAAGGCAGGTGCCCAAGTGCGTGGGTCTCAGGCAGCAACCTGTGATCCACCCTCAACAAATTCACGCAAAGGCTATTCGTGCCATAACCAACGAGCCTCAACTTTCTTTCTTATCATTTCTACCCTCCTCAAAAGTCCTGTGGCGATGGTACTCCGGATGACGGGGACAGGCCTGGTCAGCTGGAAGTCTCTAGTCTGGAGCCACACACTGGTGGCGCCTGCATGAAGGTCGTTCTATCCACAAAGTTGTGGTGATGTGATAGTTCGGCAGTTACAGGCGTGACTGGGCTGGCCTATTTAGGAGCACCGCAGCCCACTCTGAATGGAGAGACCCCTAGAAACGGTGGGGTAAACATCGGTCACCACAATTCCCCCTGACTGGCAGACCGTGGCCAGTGGGGACCTACTTCTGCGGTGAAAACCTAAGGAGAAAACTGAAACTGAACCCTTTCAAGGTGGGAGTGTGGAATGTGTGGACCCACATAGACCACGATGACACAGAACGACCACATCGACGAACTGCCCTTGTGAGTTGGGAATTCGACACTTCAACATTGACATCGCTGCCCTCTCTGAAACAAGACTTGCCGGAGAGAGAAGTCTCTCCGAAGTCAGAGTCAACTACACATTTTTCTGGAAAGGGAAAGATGCTGAACAGCGGCGGATCCACGGTTTTGCAGTCAAGACATCAATCGTGAACCGCTATAACCTGGTCCCAACCGCCATAAATGAACGTCTCATGATCCTCCGTGTGCCACTCCCTGACAGCAACCACCTGACTCTGATCTCTGCCTACGCCCCAACCCTCGACTCTGAGGATGACATTAAGGAGTCATTCTACACTACCTTGAACAGCACCATCCAAGCTGTCCCCAGAAGAGACAAGCTCCTTGTGCTTAGAGACTTCAATGCCAGAGTCGGTCGCAACCACAGACTCTAGGGGGAATCCTTGGCAAGCAGGGCCTTGGATCCTGTAATGCCAACGGGCTTCTCCTCCTTGGACTATGTGCTGAAAATGAGCTGGTCATCACTAACACTGTGTTCCGGCTTCTGAATCGTCACAAGACCATGTGGAAACACCCGCGGTCAAAGCGCTGGACCATCCTTGACTACATCCTCACCCAATCACATGACCAGAGCGATGTCCTTGTGGCCCGCAGTATGCCGGGTGCAGATGACTGCTGGACAGATCACAGGCTCGTCATAAGTTGCCTCAGACTCCGACTGTGTAACCTTCCCTGCCACAACAGACCAGCAAAGAGGGCACGTCGCTTCGACATCGCAAGGTTGAAGATCCCTGGAGTCAGGGAAGACTACTCCAACCGTCTCACAGAGCATCTGAGCGAGACTCCACCACCGGCGCAACAGCCAGACTCCGTAGAAGCGAACTGGTCTGTGCTCCATGACACCATCAGCAAGGTTGCAGAGGACATAGTTAGGGACTGCAGTCGTTCTCTTCAAGACTGGTTCGACCAAAATGACACCAGTGTCCGAGAACTGATCGATCAGAAGAGATTTGCCCGCCTTGCATGGGAGAATCGCCCTACCCGTGCCTGCTTGCGACACTACCAAAAGGCAAAGCAGGATTGCCAGCGAAGGGTCCGAGGGACGCAGAATGTCTGTTGGCAAGATATGGCAAAGGAGATCCAGTCTTATGCTAACAGCAGAGACCTCCAGCATTTCTACACTGCAACAAAGGAAATCTTTGGTCCTCGCCGTGGAGGTACCAACACCCCCCTGACTGCTGACAGAACAACCACCTTACAGAGGATCAGGCCATCCTTCAAAGGTGGAAAGAACACTTTCAGATGCTCCTGAATCATCCTTCTACCGCGGCTGATGACTTGCTCCAGAAGGCACCCCAACACCCAGTCAGGCACTGGATGTCCCTCCGTCCCTCCTACATCGAGTTTCAGAAGGCGCTGAAGTGCATGAAAGCATGGAAGGCCCCAGGTCCCGACAACATCCCGCTGGAACTCATTACGTATGGGGGCGATGCCTTGGAGACCAGGCTTTTCATGATAATCCTGCGTATGTAGGAGATGAAAACTGTACATGTAGACCTGAAGGACTCCACAATCATCACCATCTTCAAGGAGGGGGATCGCTCTGTCTGCGGAAACTACCGCGGCATCTCCCTCCTCAGCATCACCGGGAAGATCTTTGCTTGAGTTCTGCTAGACAGGCTCCTGACTGTCACTGAGGAAGTTCTACCAGAGTCACAGTGCGGCTTCTGACCATCTCGTGGCATAACTGACATGGTCTTCTGTGCCCGCCTGCTTCAAGAGAAGTCCCGTGACCAACGACGACCACTTCTTTTCATCTTCTGGGATCTAGAGAAGGCTTTCAACAGCACCCCAAGACCAACTATGTGGGCAACCTTGAGACGCTTTGGCTGTCCCGACCACTTCACAGACCTTGTACAGACCCTTCATAATGGGATGGCTGGTCGCGTCGTGATGAAGAACATAATCTCTGATCCGTTCTCCATCACCACTGGTCTGAAGCAGGGCTGCGTTCTGGCCCCCACTCTCTTCTCCCTCTACCTTGGGGCTATGATCCACGAGCTTCCTGACACGGCCTCTGGCATCCAGCTTCACTGCCGAATGGATGGAGGCCTCTTCAACACAGGACGCCTTCGCGCCCGCCGACTCACCACCCCGGTTACAGTACAGGAGCTGCAGCATGCTGACGACAATGCGACCCCTGTGGACACAGTTGATGCCCTCCAGACTACTGTTGATGCCTTCGATGGTGCATACTCCTGCTTCGGTCTCACCTCCAACACTGGGAAGACCAAGATCCTTGCGCAGGGAGCTCCGGGCCATCCTCCTCCAGACACCAGCAACGTACATCTCTGCAGCGAAGTCCTTGAGACTGTGGAAGAGTCCTCCTACCTGGGAAGCTACCTTTCCAACAACTGCACTGCGCAGAAAGACATCGACAACAGGATTCGTGCTTCACATGCAGCTTTTGAGAGGCTCTCCAAATGTGTCTTCCTTAACCATGACCTCAACCTACATACAAAAATCGTGGTGTTCCGAGTCATTGTTCTATCTACCCTCCTCTATGTCTCTGAGGTGTGGGTCCTGTACAGAAGTGACATCATAAAGCTGGAGCGTTCCAACAGCAGAAACTCCGTGCAATCCTGAAGGTCAAATGGCAAGATCTCATCCCAAATGAAACTGTCCGTCTCCGAGCCAACCTCCCCAGCATCGAGACTACGATGGGGCAACATCGCCTTTGCTGGGCAGGACACGTTAGGAGAGTGCCCACAACTCGACTTGCCCACCAGATCCTGTTCTCACAACTTGAACATGGCAGAAGATCCCAAGTAGCACCTAAGCGACAATTTTGCGACCAACTGAAGGCCACTCTCCTTCGCTGCAACATTGACCATGCTAATTGGGTAACTCTCGCCGAAGACCGCACGGGGTGGAGGCAATGCATCACTCGGGGGACAAACCATTTGGAAAACCTACATTGTTGCGAGGAGGAAGCAAAGAGACGGAGACATAAAGAACGGCTCCACCAGCCGCTCTCTCCACTCACCCTGCCCTGCCCTGCCCAAAATGCCCTCGACACTTCCATACAACTCTGGGCTTGGGCAGCCATATCAGACATTGCCACTCAACACTCAAGAACAGCTACAACCTAACTGAGGACAAGTTGAAACTGTCTCGGATATAATGCTCGGACACGAGTTACTGCCGACGATGATGATGATGCTATAATTATACATAAGTTATAATTTATAGAAGTACATTTATTTTTGAAAAGCTAGCAGGTTTCACAAACCCTGATGAGTTCCATTTAAACTGTCTGAGCTTTTACTTAAACCCAAATATAAAGATGGTTAGTCCATCAACACATGTGTAAGAGAGAGACAGAAATAAGTACAGTCTAGTAAGCTCCTTTCAATACAATCCATCCTCTTAACTTTCCTCCAGCAAACTTGAGACCTTTACCTCCAGAAGCCCACACACGTGAACTTCCTTCCTTTGGCCTTGTTACAGTTTTGTTCCGTTTTAAAGAAAAAAAAAACATGAAGCTGCTGTTGACTTTGAGTAAGCAGAAGAGGGGAGGAACCATCTACTAGAGTGTGGTTGCCGGCCTGCCCATTGACAAGCACTGCAGTCATTGCACTGTCTTTCCTGGCAATGATGTGGTGACCTTACAACCTTGGCAGGAACT